AAAAAAAAAAAAAAAACATTTCTTGCTAATGTATTTCAAGTATTAGGGACTGAGCCAAACAAAAGGATCGGCACCAGCAGCAGCAGGAGCAGCAATCAGTTCTTTACCACCGGTGGATATACGGAGGGAAGAACGTTAGTTGACACAGTTTGCACACTCACATACACAGACCACATAGTTGTGCGCTACACTCAGGGCTTGCCTGTTCTTAGGGTATAGCAAAATCTTGCAGTTAGAACAGACCACAAATCAAAAATAAAAAAAAGCCTAAATCGCTTCTAAGATATTTGTAATTTTTTCTTCCCTTTTTTTTTCTTTTTGTTGTTATTGTTGTCGACGTTGTTTTGCTTGCAGAGATCATTTATTTGTTACTCATCGCCACAAATTCGTTGACGTCGATCTTCATCATCAGCATCATCATCGTAATCGTCGTCACTATTATCACCATCACCATCTCTACTGTTAACATCATTTAGCTATTTCCATTGTTCTCACCTCATTGCTATGTTTTTCTCATATTTCTTTTCACATCCTGCATAACCAATTCTCTTCATTTTGAAATTATAACTTTTTGTTAGAATGGATTTTGCTTTTTAGTAGCTTTTTATATCTGAATCAATGAAAGAATAAGAAAAGAGACGAAGGAAAAAATTTTAGTAATCTTAAAAAATTTTGCATAATTTTTTATCTTTACTATTACTTGTACAAATTAATGATTATTTGTTAATTTTGATACTGAAAATTGTCTCATGTCATATTTTTAAAATCATTGCTGAAAGATGGGATAACGGCTATTGGATGACTGGTATATTTGATGCTTTCTTAAATGTTGTATGTGAAGCGATAGATTGGTCAATTATCAGTTGCTTTCGGTGGCAATGGTTAAAAGTTTCGGTTGATGGTATCATACCATCGAGTCGTTCCTAATAAAACAGTAGGAGTTCGCTGCGGGCCAGTAACGAAATGCAGCATCAAGTGTCAGTCATTCGTTTTCTCCATTAGTAACAGTCTTAACTTTGTACTTAAATTTGTGGCTCTTACTTTTATACTTCGGTAATCCTACACGAGCTGTGACTTTGACTCAGCAAACTGCTCGTTGAACTTTTTTTGCAGCGGAATGAATGTGAAGGGAGATTAAGAAAAGAGGTGAGAATAGCATTAGTTCTTGCTTATGAAGCATTTGCAGCTTCTACTGTTTGGGTTCTATACTTGAAATTGAAGAACAGGAAGTGTTAATAAAGTATTAAATGCTGTCTAGATTCACTTCACCTTCATAGACTTATAAATAAAAATCGTATTGTGAAAAATTGTATTTGTGATATTACCAGAATAGATGATTATAGAAAAGATGAGTCAGTTTTTCTACTTATGTTCGGTTTAGCGAGCTTTAGCACTGATTTTCAGAAATTTTATTTGAACAGTTTAAAAGAAAACTTTAGTTGAGCTAAAAGGGTCGAATATGTTATCGCAAAAAAAATCTTTTTTTTTACGGTTAATTGGTCTATTTTAATGACGGTTTTGGAATAAAAATTTCTTTTGAGTATCGATTAAATTTAATGTAGAATGCTATAAACACCAGAAATTGTCGTCTTATATGTTCATCATGATTTTTTGGCGAGAAGAAAAAAATTTTTTTTTTTACTTCTATGATATTGTTGCTTGTAACTACTTTTAATTCAAGTCCACTACTTTAATTTTGTAAAACAACTGCTGTATTTGTAGTGGGCAATTGTAAAAAAAAAGTATGCTTTTTCTGTAGTACCTGAAAGCTTTTGAAGTCAATAAACTGCGTAGTAACGGGAGGTGAAATAACAGTAACTTCTTCCTTGGCTTTAATTGATTAGTGTTTCAAAGAAAGAAATTCCTTTGATTGTTTTTACAACGTTTACAGTTGTTTAAATGTCAGCTGCAGCTTTCTAAAATTTCTGTAAGGCTTTTTTTAAATGATACTGCAGAATGGATGTAACACTTTTTCTCAAACATTTTTTAAAAACTTGCATATGAAAAAAGTAATTTTTTAAAATTAGATTACGAGTTTTGAACTAAGTTCCATTCAACGTTTGTTCCCAACTGTCCCCACTCAATCAAGCATTTCTAATTAACTCTTTATCACTCGTTCGATTCTGCCTTACAAAAAGTTGCAAAATACTAGTCTGTATTGTTTGTTTTTCTTCGCTATCTTTTTTGTTAATGTTAATATTACTGCCTCTGAAGCGATTATTGATTTTAAGCTTTAAGTTCTTAATTTGAATCTAATTGTTTTATATCTTTGGGGGTTTTCATAAAGGACAGCATGTACAGTAGACTGGCAATAATTTTGCCTTAGTTTTACCGTCACTGTCGTTTCTGTAGGTAATAATAACTGATTCAGATCATTAGATAACTTTCAGAAATGCTTTTTCACCCTGTTTTGCTTTCTAGAGAAGACTTACGATAAGCAGAAAACTAGAGGAAAAAGGAACAGTGAAGTTGAAAAGCGAGTGGATTGAAAGCACTTTGCATTGATTAACCGACGAGTCCTTACCATTTTTATATTTTTTTCTTTAGCAGATATGCAAAAATGATAGACTTCTTAAAGTGCATATCTAACGAAAAAAATTTTTTCAAATTTTAGACTTTTGAAGAAATATACGGTGAAACAATAATTAAAGTTGACGTTTTTATAAAATCTGAAATTTAGCGATTGTTATTTGTTGTAGATAATCGTCAACAATTTACTATCTTTGAAATGAATTATTTCTTGAAATTACTTTTAATCTTTTGAAGACCATACGAAGAGTGGAGAATGGTGGACTATTATCAACAACCACCAGCAGCAAACAACCAGTATCAACAGGGCTACGACTATACTCAGCAGGAAGAGGAGTGGGATCGGGAAGGGCTTTTAGATCCGGCATGGGAAAAGCAACAAAAAAAAGTTAGAGTTTTCCTGTTCTTAGAGTAATCTATGTTAATCTGAATATTCAGTTTTGAATAACAACAGCAGCACTTATGGCGGATGAAAAACAATTGATAACGGGTTGCATAATGTGTTCGTTTTACTACAAAAGGCGAAAGTGTTGTTTATAGTAAATGTATCGCTGTAGAATTATCATCTACTTCAGTATAGAAAAGAAAATGAAAACATTCAAAAAAAAAATGATCGATTTTTTAGCACACTTTTAAATCTTCAAACAATTTTTGGAGTATTTGAGTTTATGAAGCAGTATTTGTTTATCGAACTCAATTACAACTGTTTTTAGAACAAAAATAATATAAAAAGTTAAATTTGAGTAAATATGGTTTTTTTTGGTAGCACTTGTTTGAGGATTTGTAGATGATTTGTTTTTGGTGAAAGTATAATATAGTATGCATGCAAACCTTCGCCGTAATCCCGGCGAAAACGTGGGTTAAGCTGAAATACTTCACAGCGTAAAAACGTCAACTGCTAAACATTTGCATACATTCGCCATTTAGCCTAGGTCTAAACAAGCAAATTTTCTTCTGTCAAACTTTTGAACAGTAGGATTCGACAGAAAAGAGTGGTCATTCAAAAGGTTTTTGTTTTGTGACGTCTACTTGTTGCAGACTTTTACAGCATGGTGTAACAGCCATCTTCGAAAAGCTGGTACTAGCATCGAAGTCATAGAGGAGGATTTTCGTAATGGTATCCGCTACTGACTATTTTTTGATCACTTCAGTTGTTTCGCAACCTTCTTGAAACTAAAATTGGATATCATTTAGGTCTCAAATTAATGCTGCTCCTAGAAGTCATATCGGGAGAACCTCTTCCTCGTCCTGACAGAGGTAAAATGCGATTCCACAAGATTGCAAATGTTAATAAGGCTTTAGAATACATCGAGAGCAAAGGTGTCAAGCTAGTATCAATTGGAGCAGAAGGTACTAAAATGTTGAAAGTTATAAATTTTTTGCTTCAGTAGCAAATTTTTAACTTAGGGTACTTAGGTAAACAGTAAGGTTTTTTGGGGCTGTAACTGTTTATGAAAATTTCAGAAATTGTCGACGGTAATGTCAAAATGACTTTGGGTTTAATTTGGACTATCATATTACGTTTTGCTATACAAGATATTAACGTTGGAGGTAAACGTTTAACTTTTTTGCTCTATACCTGAAATTTGAGCTGTAACTCTCACGTGTCATAAACGGAGAAATAAAAGTTTTGACTGATTTTTTCTTCTAGATAGAAAATTAAGTAAGTTTAAGCGGATGGTATATTGTAATCAGGTTCAAAAACTTTACTATCTTATAAGCGCTTGAATTTTATCTGTATCTGAAGATTCAGGTTTCAATAACAACGGCAACATTAATAATAATGTTGATGGAAAGATACATTACTATTAATGTCTCTGTTGCAGGAACTTTTCATATTTTTTACCAGATGTGATAATCATTTGCAGTTTTTTCAGCAAATTACCTGAGTAAATATTAATTTTTATCATTGGCAATTTTTGCTTATAGTCGCATTTCAGAAAAAGTTTTTAAATTATAACTAACTACAAAAGATGAATTTGTTTGACAAGAAGTTTTGCTTACTTATATAATTATTTCATTTTGATTGTTTTATATGGTACTCATTACAAATTTATGATATTTAAGGTCATGACTTACGATTTCAGAACTCTCCGCTCGTGATGGCCTGCTTTTATGGTGCCAAAGAAAAACTGCTCCTTATGACAATGTCAATGTTCAGAATTTCCATACAAGGTTTTCCTAAAGTTTTTAATTGTTTTCTATCCTGTAAATGTCGCTAGAATTTGTAGATTATTGGTTGTGTTCGATTAAAACCAAAAATTTTTAGGCGTTTTTATGAAAAATTATTTAACACTAATATAACTTTGTAGTTGGAAAGATGGGTTAGCATTCTGTGCACTTATTCATCGTCACCGACCGGAACTGTTGGATTACTTTAAGCTAACAAAAGCTGACCCGTTACATAACCTTAATCTTGCATTTGATATCGCAGAAAAGCACCTTGATATTCCAAGGATGTTAGATGCTGAAGGTAAACCCTAAAAATTTTGTTTCAAGTTCATTAGAAATTATAAAGTACGAAAGGGGAAGAAAAAACTGCTTTTGAAGAAATCACATCAATTAGTGGTCGTAACGGTGGAGAACCTTATTGTTTCAAGTTTTGCTTTTGTAGGGATTAGGACTTTCTGCAAAACAGTTAACGGTTAAGCTTGCTGTAAATTTGTTAGTCTAAACTTTTAAATTACTTTCTTGAGACAACATATGAATTTATTGGAATTAATTCCATGATATGTGGGTAACAAAATTGTTCTGTTGGGCCCAGATCCCAGAATGATTTTCGTTTTTTGCATAGGAGGTTACTACGAGACTTCTTGTTACTTCAGATCTTGTGTACAGTCAAAAACCGGATGAAAAATCAGTGATGACATACGTCTCGTGTTTCTACCACGCATTCCGTGGTGGTCATAAGGTTTACAGTTTTTTGAGTGTGAAAATGCATGAGTGTCGCGTGCTATGATCGGTTCGGTTACTTGAAGCTTGCTTAAGTCCGTCTATAATAATGATTCATCAGAGCGGCTTTTGAGCAGAACTCTGCTAATATCGTTACTCGTGAAATGTTTCTGTCTGTATTTTCTGTGTTTTTTGGAAACCTCTTATGAACTTAGCGAGTACGTTGTTCACTAAGATTAGGTAGAAAGAAATTTGTAGACTTTTATGCACTTTGAATTTTTTTCTAGAACTCTGAATGCATACACTAAATCAGTATTTTTCGGAGTCAAAGTTTCATTTGAATTATTTTTGTCTTAGTTATAGTATGTAAAACACCCTCGTTTTAACATTTGAATAACCGTTGTTTTTTCAAGTAGGAAATTATAGTTTCTTATACTGGCCAAACGCTTTGTTTGCACGATCTATTTATTTTTGTTTTTTTTTATTTTCATTAATCTAACGAATGCAATTTTGGTTTTAATCAGAATTGCAGATATGGTTAATAATGTGCCTGATGAAAAAGCAGTCATGACTTACGTCTCCAGTTATTACCACTGTTTTCTTGGTATGCACAAGGTTTGTTACTAAGACCTTTACCAAGCAGTAATGAGTTTAGTATGTCAGAAGGCGAGTACTGCGTTAATGAACTAAAATACAACTGATATTTATAGCAAATAAAAGTTTGAAAAGATACGGAAGTAACGGCTTCGAAGACAAACCGTGCCAGCTAAAAAAGAACAGTTTAATTAGATTGTATTAAAAACAATAGTTTTTGGCGAATATTTTCATTTTTCAATACTTATCATGATGAGAGCAATAGGGTAGTTGTTTTTTTATTAAGGATGGTGTACATCAATATAAGAAACCGGAAAGCTTTGTAAAATAAAGATTAATTCATTTCTTTTATTTTGGAAGGTAATTTAACTTTGGTGGTAAATTCAAAGACGTGGCAGGGAACACCTTGTAAGACATTACTGTCCGTATGTCTGTCCAAATATGATGCTTAAGCATGTTTATGCTTAATAAGTTATGGCTTGTGCTCTTCAAAGATTATTATGAAATTTTATTTTAGAATATCTTATTTTTTATTTTTGACTTAAAATCATATTTGTTGCATGATTTATGACTATGAACTTCAACTGTATTAGATGCTACATTTACATATCAGGCTGAAACCGCAGCGCATCGCATATGCCGGGTCCTAAAAGTCAATCAAGATAACGAAAAAATGATGGAGGACTACGAGAGCCTCGCAAGTGATGTAAGCTTCAAAGTAGCTTCATTCATTTAGTTAGCTATTGCTTTTTAAAACAGGGCTTTTTCGCAAACTAATGTGCTCGGAGAATAGTAATAATGTTACGGTCAATTAAAAGGTCAAAGTTTGTTACAGTGATAAGTATTATTTACAGTTATTGGCTTGGATTCGTCGCTGGATGCCATGGTTATCAAGTCGATCATCGGATGATAATTTACAGATGGTCCAGAAGAAGCTTGAAGATTTCAGAAATTACCGAAGGCGTGAAAAACCACCGCGGATTGAAGAGAAAGGAAACTTAGAAACATTGTTCAATACACTGCAAACCAAACTAAGACTTAGCAATCGCCCAGCTTTCTTACCGACTGAAGGACACTTGATCAAAGTAGGCTTAGCTTATATTTCTTCTTTTATGGAACCAACTTTTATTACTTGCTATTAATTTAATGCCTATAAGGAAGAGTTTGTTTGGCAAAGACACGTGTAGGTGAAGTTTTTGTAAATTTATAAAGAGCTGTATGGATACCTGGTATTAAAATTATACTTAGTTTGAGGGGTCTTTCTGTCACTCTAAATCTGCTATCTTTTTAATGATTCAAGGATATTAATGCAGCGTGGAGAGGGCTTGAAGATTCGGAAAAAGGCTTCGAGGACTGGCTACTTAGCGAAATGATGCGGTAAGTGTTTTTTAAATTAAACTATAAAATGGTTAAGAAAAAAAAAACGCTCAGACGAACTATCAATGTTCTTCCACTTTTATTTCACGAAAAAACCAAATCTTTCTCTATGGTCTGCAGTTTTAAAGTATTTAAAGGTTTTAAATTTTAGCTTGGAACGTTTAGAACATTTGGTGGAGAAATTCCGAAGAAAGTGCGATATGCACGAAGAGTGGTCTCATGGCAAAGAAGACGTTCTACGCTCCAACGACTGGCGATCAAGCGGCCTTTATAAAATAAAGGTAGTTTGTACGCTCTTTCTGACAAATTTATGACGCTAGTTCATGCTAAAGCTTTTTATTAACTAGCGCAGGCTTTACGAAAACGTCATGAAGCCTTCGAAAGTGATCTTGGAGCTCATCAGGACAGGGTAGAGCAGATTGCAGCAATTGCTCGTGAGCTAAATAATTTGAAGTATCCTAGAATTGCTGAAATTAATTCGCGTTGTCAGGTTACTTTACTTTTCCGTGAATTTAATAGCATTGTTCCATCAAGTAACTATGCTGCAACTTTTCTGCACAGGTACTCCCTTCTGACTGAAGGATCTGACTAAGGATTTTTAGACAATATGTGACCACTGGGATCGCCTTGGATCACTGGCCCAACAAAGAAGAAAACAACTTGAGGATGCTGAAAGAGTTGCTGAAAAGCTAGACCATCTATATCTTGATTTTGCTAAAAGAGCTGCTCCTTTCAACAACTGGTGAAGTTCATTAAGTTTTTAATCATTTATAGTCATCATTCCAGACCCTAGCTCACTTTGGATAGGAAAATTTTTATCCAATATTATATTCATTCTACATTTTGCTGTGCGCAGGCTTTTTTTAGAGGCAACAAATAACAACAGACTGAGAGCTTTAAGTGGAAAGAAGGCCTAAGACTGATGATATTATAAGCTAGAAATTTTAATATACCAAACCACCTCTTATAAAAAACTACTTTCAAGGCTGGACAGCACCCGTGAAGACCTGGCGGACCTTGTTGTTGTTCACGAAATGAAGGAAATACAGGATTTAGTCGAAGCACATAATACGTTTAAGACGACGATACCTGATGCTGATGCTGAATTCAAGAGCATTGCTAGTATAGAACAGGTAATTTTATGGAACTACGACTTTTCTAATGGAACAGG